CTTGGTGGGATTGTTGCCCCCGACACTCTCAGGTTGTCAGTAGTTCTAGCACGATTAGAGTGACTAATCTGTGGATTGTACGACTTTACAAAAATATTTATAAAAATAAAATAAAAATTTCTTTTGCATGATTAAAAGAACTCTTCATAAAAGAAAGACTTAAATAATAACTTTTGCATGAAAGACTTTCTATGAAAATTTATAAAGGTCCACGGCTAGTCACTTGGATTGAGGTTAAGAACTACCTGCTGTAGAGTGTCGAGTTGACAATTCTTACTCAAGGTCGGGAAACACACAGCCTAGCTCTGAGCCTCCACTTTCACCAACGTCTTGTATCCAGTCTTGATCTTTCATGTGGTTATAGGTTTCTTTTGCTTGTGATTTTCACTACTCATTTTTTTTTATGACTTTCATGTTGAGTTTTCTTGCTTTATTTATTTTTCTCGCAAGTATGTTTAAATATGCTGCAAATCATGCTATGCTCGCAACACTGATAAAACAACAGTAGCAGATGCCCAGGTACGCTGTTATAGTTTATCTACAGCATTTTACTTTACTGCAGTTTACCTTTCAAGTACCATTTTACTTTACCATGTTGTGCAGCGTAAGTCCTAACTCACCTTAGGTGCCGAGGTTGTTCCGGTGGTATCGAAAGGTTGTCGTGTCACACGACGTAAACCCTCTTATCTCCGTGGGTTATTTGCATAATCGGATATTATGTTATTTGCATAATCGGGTATTATGAAAATGTAAGTCTTAAATAATAAAATTGGCAGAATTGAACACTTAATTAAACTCGCTATCGTCTCCAAAATGTAGCGACACCTGAGGATAGTTTAGGATGTCACTGAGGTTTCTTTTCAGGATCTATGACATCCCCTACCTTCTCCTTCCTTTGGACTCCTGAAAATAAATGTTCCGCATTGAGCCATTCCCACTTGATTTTCCTCATCCTACCATAAAAAACTGAACCTTGAATTCTTGAAGACTAGAACCATTGATCATCAAGAGTTTTCTCAAGTGACTCCCGTCATTTGGGATGTAATTAACTATAGGGGCTTGCCTCTATAGGGAACTTGGAACCCAGATAAAATAAACCCTATTTAATCTTTGTATTAAATAGGGGAACTTGTCGGTCATACATAAAAGGTTCGCAGACCAAACAAATGTCACAAATCTCTTAGTTTGCAGGATTGAGTCTATCGCTGAGGTCTACACTTATCTTTCGGGAGGGTGTAGTATTCGCGGTATTAGGCACGATTATGCAAACTATTGGACGAATGAGATCCATTTGGTCTCATTTTTCAAAAATTAAAACATACTATTTTTAAAACCCAAACTATATATCTTTTATATTTAAATTAAATCTCAAAAATGATTTTTATATCCATATTTTCAAATATATCCATCGAAAAAGTTGACCGACACAAGGTGGTATAAATGTAAAGATCAAATTTTTGGTGCTAGATATATAAATCCATAAAATCTGTGTGGTATGAGTGTAAATTTTTGCTTTTCATGAACGTAGGTCACATTAATAAGAATATAAAAATGTTCGATTCTTTCAGTTACATCTGAATGGAATCCAATGCATATCTTCCTTTTCTTAAAGAGCATTTAGCAGTGTTAATCTTGTTCTATATAACATCTTTATGAACATTAATTAAACTTTTATATTTTTTGAAATAACTCTAAAAGCTAAACTTGCTCTGTGCAATCAATTGTTTTTTTCTAGAAAACGAAACCTACGCAGCATAGTGTTCGAGAATTGAGGGCATTGGGTTTGACTCCTGACCTACTAGCATGTCGTTCAGATCAGGTAAAAACATGACCACATGTATGTATTTATATATATATATATGGGCCAGCCGTTTACATACACACCACCCAAGTCTTATGTATTTACATATCTAACACTTGAATTTTAATTTTTACTTTTATGCCGCTTAAATCTTTTATCACATGGAAAATATCATTATTTTAATTTTTACAAGTAAAATACCTTCTCATGTATAGGTAAGGTGGCACATGTAAAATTTTAAGTTTAGATGTTAGAGATATGTAAATACATTGGAATTAAGTCGTATGTATGTAAATCTTCTTATTTATATATATATATATATATATATATAGTAGTTTTTTATTTGGCATGTATGATTACCTGAAAATATGGATGGAAATTTATGCTTTTTTTTTCCTTTTTGTGTCAGAATGCTACCTCGCTTTAATAAATGAGATGAAGTTTTTTCAAGGCATTAGATGCAAGGCTGCCTTTCTATAGGTAAGAGAAAAATTAAGAACATGCAAAAAATGGACACAACTAAAGTATTAAAAAACAGTAAATATAAATTTCTTTTGGGATTCGGTTATGTACAAATTGAAGAAATAATCAATTGTTTATAAACTAAATACAAATTTCCAACTACAATGACCTTTAAAAAATAATAATATGCTAATGCTATCCAAAAGACATCAAGTTACTATAATAAACAAGATAGTTGTTGAAATAAAATTATATGTCCTATCGAACATAAAATAAATAAAAATATATGAGCTGAATAAGATTTCCTAAAACCATTAGTTTCTTCAGTTTATGAATCATTCAACTTTAGAGTGTAGAAGTGGCTATATACCAAGAAGTCGTCGCTCTTCTTAACTCATCGTTTAATCTTCAAAGTGTGAATATTCCCATGATTGTTTATATGGCACCATTTAAGTCTCGGAGTCTATAAAAATGCCAAATTAATTTCCAGTCTCTTTAAATTAAAGCTAAAATATTTCTACATGGGGACTATTTTTAGCCCATATTAAAAGAGTCGAGAATTAAATTGTCATCTTTTTAGACTCTGGGATTAAAATGATCTCTTACAAAGAGTTTGATAACTATTTTGACACATTCCTGGATCTTCAAATGGTGGTTAATACTTGTAGTGAGAAGTGAATGTTGACGTTTGAAAGGTACATGAGTGAAATTTATAAGCTATGATGTATATAGTTGGTTTGGACCTACTTTTGGGAAAATATAGGATCTATTTGGGGAAACTTCAATTCAAAGTTCTTGAGGCTTGAAAGAGCTTTGATTAGATCACAGATTTATAACCTAAAAAAAGATTTATGATCACGCTAAGGGGTAAATCAAAAGTACTTGCATTTATGTCATGTCATTCAAATAATCTGATAAGTTGTAGAGTTTTTAGAAGGTAATTTCTTTTAGATAAAGAGTGAGAAAGTATAAAAATGATTTAAACGAGAATACAATTTTCTTCACTTTAATACACACCATGAGAATGCATTATAGTCATAAATTTATCATCTTGCTTAATTTTCAAAATTCGGGAAGTATCGCGTGCGCATGATATTGAGAAATGCTATTAAATATGATAGGAGTAATTAATAAATGCCTGCAAACTTTCTAAATCATAGATTATAGATATTCTTAATAGGGATACAATTTCACAAAGTTTTGCAATGATTACTTGCGGGCTACACAAATCTGTTTAACACTACTAAAAATTTCTATTAAAGCGATGATCAACCTCTTTAAAGTAGAGTTATTCAAAGGGTATAAAATTTAAATAGAATGCAATGGAACCTTTTGGGATATTCAGAGTTTGTATTAAAGAAATTGTTAAGAATTTGTCTGTAAATCTATCCTTGTGATTCAGCATAACCAACAAAGATGCATTATAGGTATTTTCTTTGAAAATTTGACACAACAAAATCGTTTTGAAGGTGGTTTTAGTTTTGAAAGAAATGCAAATGATAGTTTCTAGAAAGGGTTTTTTTTTTGAGTTAGTTTTGGAATCACGAGGAGAGTTGTGGAATACATAAGTGTTGACATATTGGGAATTTTTCGAAAGGAGAAACCAATTAGTATAGATAATTTTGGCCATAATTGAAGTTTAATGAATATGTTTTTTTACTTTATTGTGATGGGATATGGTATAATGTAATGGTGTCGCAGAGAGGTAAGCTCAGGATGAGAGAGCGAAAGTTGATGTTCTTGGTAGGGGATGGTGTGGGAAATGAAAGTTGATGACCTGGATGATGGAAAACAAACCAAACTTCAAAATAAGGAAAAAAAAACTTAAGAACTAATAACGGATGATTAAGATCTCAAACTTCAACTTTTTTCAGACCGTTAATGCATGAACTTTTGTTCTGATATCAATTTGATTAAAAAAAAATTTAAAGGCTAGGAAAAATATATAGAAAATGAAAAAAAATGAAAAAAAATGGATAAAATTAAAGAATGATCAAGAAGAAATAATCAGATAACCAAAATTTTTACAGAAAAAGGATCACTTGTCGTGGGAGATATTAAATCTCATAGTTGATTAAGAATCAAAATGTCCAAGAAGATGAAGAAGAGACCGAACATCCAAAACAATAATATTAGTCATTCCATAATTATCATACATGCCCCATTATTCATTTGCTTATAGATTGAAATAATGAGTTGTTAGTAGTTTTAGGGTATGTTTGAGACAACTTTCTTCCTGCTTCACGTTTCAGACCGCCACCACAACTCGGTATGGGGATCTGTTTTTTAGAAATTTCTGTGGCGGTAAGTTGCTTTTTTTCAACTTATTCTGTTAAAATACGGTAGTTGTAAGAAATCTGATGTTTGATTTTTTTGTAAAAAAATATTTATAATTTCCACCATAATTTTTTAAGAAATTGGTTTCTTCATCAAAATTTATAATCAACTTTTTATAAAGCAACCACCTCAGTCAGACGCTTAATCATGTGCTAAATTAATCTCGTCTGAAAAACTATGTGGTAATTTTTATGCTATTTGACCTTTTATTTTTTTTCTTCTGTAACATCGCCATTACACTTCAGAGGAGCCGACATCAGAGTTTTAAATGGAGAAGAGAGAGAGAGAGAGAGAGAGAGAGAGAGAGAGAGAGAGAGACGACATAAGATCCATTGCAGAATCTAAAGTAGTGATGACAACTTTGGTGAGCACATGCGCCCCCAAGGTCATTTTCACATGCTATATTCTCATATGAAGGCGATGAAACTACCTAGAGCAGTGGTGAAGTTAGTGATTGCTCTTGTGATCGAATCGTGCGATAAAAAACGATGGTAGAGGAGACATGGACAGAGTCAATGATGGAGATGGAAACAGAATTGAAAGGTGAACTGCGTGCAATCGTAAGGGCGGGGTTTGAATCTTACGTGAGGGCGACACATGCAAAACCAATCAAATTGAAGCATTAGCGAGGCAGAGGAGCGGATTGCCAATTTCTCTTGTGCATTCGACTAAACGAGCATAATGGAAGACAATTTAAGTTCGAACGAAATAATAAATAGTTGAGTGAACTCAGTTGGCTTGGGCTTTACATTTTGTTGGTTGAACTATTTTTCTTCTCGTGGAAGGTAAATTCAACCCTGACTATAATATTTTTATCTGTTTTTATGAAAATATATTTGAGATTCTAGAAATAAATTATGATTTATGTAAGTTTCTATTCAACTTAAATTGAAATAGTAATAATAATAATAATAATTAGATTATATAATAATATAGTTAAAGAATAACTACATGTATAAGTATTTTAGATATTATATTGAAGAATTTAGATTAAATTAATTAAACTCAACATTCATATTGTGGAGATTATTAAAATTTGAAAATATAGTAAATCAAATTGGGCATAAAATAATCATGATAAGTACATTTTGACAAAATGTTAAATATTAAATTAGTAAAATAATGAATTTGAAAAAAAAAAAACTAAAATACATATTGATGATAATTGAAAGAAAATTAATTATAGTAATAAAAATAATAATTGTAATAACTTATTAAAAGTGAAGGGTATGATTAACAAATTTAAATTAGGAATCATGAAATAAAATTTTTATGGGATATATTAAATAAGTTGTAGACTAGAGAGGCACAAGTATGAGAATTCGATCGCAGAGCTAGGGCAAGGAGGCGAGATCGGGGACGGGATCGAGGGACTTGAGTTAATAAGTTTGAACGGAACGTGGACCACGTGGTCTATCCCGCGGCCGTGATTAGGTAAGAAATTCCATTGCGCGTTTCTGGAATGTCGATCCAACACCCGAAACACGCGTGCGTTCGACGTTTTCAAAATGTTGAACACAAAAATAAGCTTCCCCAAATGCCCCTAAATAATGAAAATAAAATAAAAGATGTTCAAGTTATAAGGTTAATAATTAAACAAAAAAATATTAAATTATATTAAATAATTAAAATAGTCAAATTAAAATAGATAAAGATTATTCAACCATAGTTAAATTTATTAATGTGAATACTTCTTATGTTATAGGTCTCCAATTGAATGAACTACAACTTAAGGAATAAAGGATGGGGAATGTTGAGGCGAGTATTTGTATTTTTAACTTGTGGTAGTATTTTGTTTTTTCTCAACCATTTTGCATTAATATTTATTGGCAATTGAGCAAATTTTATTCTGACTTATATGCACTTTTATTTATTGGCTATATAATTGTGAATAATATATTTTTTAACAATTTCTACTTTTGCACATTAATTAAGAATATATAAAGTACATTAAATTGAATGAGATGAGTATAAATAATATGAAAATTTACATACTTGGCACCCAATTCTTATGCATTTACTTCACACTCAAATTTTGATTTTTACATTCTAAGCATCCTAACCCATGTATGAAAAGGTGTCTTACACTATTTCCACCTTTTCATACATAGGAAAAGATTGTTTTTATGTAAAAATAAAAATGTAAGTGTGAGATAAGTAAATGCATAAGAATTGGGTGCTATGTATTTAAATTCCCCTAAATAATATAGTATATTTGT